TTGGCAGTGTGGGCAGGTACCAAATCCTGCTGGAAAATTAAATCAGCATCTTCAAAAAGCTAGTCAGCAGAAGGAAGCATGAAGTGCTCCAAAAGTTCTTGGTAAACGGGTGCAGTGACGTTGGTTTTCAAAAAACACAATGGACCAACACCAGCAGATGACATTGCACCCCAAATCATCACAGACTGTGGAAACTTAACACTGGACTTCAAGCAACTTGGGCTATGAGCTTCTCCACCCTTCCTCCAGACTCTAGGACCTTGGTTTCCAAATGAAATACAAAACTTGCTCTCATCTGAAAAGAGGACTTTGGACCATTGGGCAACAGTCCAGTTCTTCTTCTCCTTGGCCCAGGTAAGACGCCTCTGACGTTGTCTGTGGTTCAGGAGTGGCTTAACAAGAGGAATACGACAACTGTAGCCAAATTCCTTGACACGTCTGTGTGTGGTGGCTCTTGAAGCCTTGACCCCAGCCTCAGTCTCTTTCTTGTGAAGTTTACTCAAATTCTTGAATCGATTTTGCTTGACAATCCTCATAAGGCTGCGGTTCTCTCGGTTGGTTGTGCATCTTTTTCTTCCACACTTTTTCCTTCCACTCAACTTTCTGTTAACATGCTTGGATACAGCACTCTGTGAACAGCCAGCTTCTTTGGCAATTAATGTTTGTGGCTTACCCTCCTTGTGAAGGGTGTCAATGATTGTCTTCTGGACAACTGTCAGATCAGCAGTCTTCCCCATGATTGTGTAGCCTAGTGAACCAAACTGAGAGACCCTTTTGAAGGCTCAGGAAACCTTTGCAGGTGTTTTGAGTTGATTAGCTGATTGGCATGTCACCATATTCTAATTTGTTTAGATAGTGAATTGGTGGGTTTTTGTTAAATGTGAGCCAAAATCATCACAATTAAAAGAACCAAAGACTTAAACTACTTCAGTCTGTGTGCATTTAATTTATTTAATACACGAGTTTCACAATTTGAGTTGAATTACTGAAATAAATGAACTTTTCCACGACATTCAAATTTATTGAGATGCACCTGTATTCTAAGGTGTGCAGTTATTTCTCAGCTAAAGTAGTTCCAGGCAGTTCCAGTAGTTCCAGCAGGATTTCTATGAAGTCTGTTGGAATACTGGTGTTCTACGACCAAATCTCTGCATACGTCACTCCTCTCGGTGCCGTTTTATCCATTCATCAACCTCCCATTACTGTTCTTATATTTCAGCATTAAGCTCAAAGGCTGTTTGCACTGGCATACATTTTAATAACTTAGCGCTTCCACATGTGGAGTCTTTGGCTCTGTATACTTTACAAGTATGTTTACACACACAAGGAGTTTGTCTACTAATTAAAAGTTGAATACAAAAATGAACTGGCTTTCTTATACACATCTTCTTTTATAATCATCTAAGTCTTACCTTTGCTCACATTCCTCAATAGCCCTTCATTTATCTAATCTTCTTTCTTAGGTTTGACTAGTACTTTTGCTTAAGACATGATTTCATGCTTTGTTTGTGTGACCTGTATGTTTCAGGGTCTGTGGTGTTAGATAGTGTGTGTATCTTATCCTAGTGTGTGTTGCATTTTCTTCATTGAATATGTTAGGCACACACACTACAGATGCCTATATAGTGAAAACAGAGCTGGTGTTAGGACAGAACCCTGAGGAACACCATAAGAAAGATTTTCTGTAGAAGAGGTGAAATTCCCACCTCTTCCCACCTCTTTGTTAGTAGTAACTGAGAATTTTCTGTTAGCTAAGAAAGACTTAAACCATTTTAATACAGTTCCCCCCAAAATATCAATCTGGAGATACGAATCGTGTGATCGATTGTGTGAAAGGCAGAGGACAGGTCTGATATAACTAAAATATCCGAGTTACCAGAATCTGTGTCCATTAAAATATCATTAAATAGTACTGAAACTGCCCTTTTAAGAGTTCTTAATGATTAAAACCTAGATTGAAATTCTTCAAATATCTCATTATCAGTTAGACAGGCACTATCTTTCCCAACACCTTATAAATAAAAGATATTGGGCGAAATTTTCTAGGACAGTTGCATCAAGTGAAGGTTTTTTCAGCACAGGTGTAACAGTGGCCAATTTCAGTCTATCTGAGACAGACCCAGATTGCAGACTTTTATTTAAGAATCACACCAGTCCTGGACCCACAAGAGTCCACTATTTGTTTCAAGTATTGAGGATGGATTACATCGTTTGAACACAAGGAAGGTTTGAGGTTTGAAATTATTTCCCAGACTAATTGTAAGAAAACAGCACCAAAAGCAGACCAAGAGGCTGACACATTAACATGTTCATCTACATCTACCACTGCTGGATGAACTGATAATTACACTAGACACTAAACAACGCAAAGCCTGCGCAAATACTAGAAATGGTTAAAGATAATTTGGAATTGCATAGTTACACATTTTATTTATCTATTAGATCTTTGATGTTATTTAGCTGGCTAGTCTGTTTCCTTGATCTCAATTATATGATGACATTACGTTGCTTGTCTTGTTGCTGTCAGAGAACTGAACTGAACTGAACTGAACTGAACTGGATGATGATCAGTGACTTTAACTGAAAATGTGACTGTTTACTATCATCCTCTTGCATTATCGACACACTATTTTCCCGTTTGACACTGTAAAGCTGCTTTGACACAAGCTGTATTGTATAAAATGCTATATAAATAAAGGTGACTTGACTTGATTATTGACAAAAAAATTAAACATGGTGTGTCTTTATTGTGTTTATAGTTTTTAATGTTTTTTTTCTTTTAATCCATAAATATGGGAAATAAATTGCGTCAGGTTGCTGTAAGGGAAGATTTAAGAGTGAAGATGTTTTCCCAAATAGGGTTTATTGAAGACAATGAATAAATAAAGAGGTGAGTGAACACAGCAACAAAAAGATGATGGGAATGGGAGCAAATAGCTAAAAGTCCTTAAAACCCAACAGAGTCCATGGGGAGTGAGCACACACAGCAAGTGAATTCACAGAAATGTGACTCAGCCGAGTGGAAAATTTAGATGCAAAAAAGTTATGTAATTAACAATTAATAATTCATTTTTTAAAATTATACGTTTGCATGTAAAATTATGAAGTTGTAGCAAATCATTTTATTTGTGTTTAGTAAAGATAAGCATAGACATCCAGTAACTTGGCAAAGGTATACCATTTAAGATAGCATGTTCACTGTTAATATGACAATATCATACAATTACTGAGGAAAAAAAAGTGTAATTAAATGACAGTCAGTTATGAAAATGTTTGTGAAAACGATTGCAAAGGGGGTTACATGTGAGTATTTTCTGTAAAAGCTAGGATATGTTGATTAAATGAGTTACTTTTCTTGTTTTTAATGTGCATGACTCCTCCTGCCATTTAAAGGCCATTTAGTAAAGCACTGCTACTCTGGTGCTTTTGATCGGTTCTTTTGTTTGAATTTGCAGCTATGTCAATCCACATTGCTGTTGAAAGCTTTAGGCTACAGTCTGTCTGAGAGTCGCCACAATGGCGAGTCCTAAAAATGCGTTCCATATGACATCAAATAAAAAGCTTTGTAATAATAAATTCAAAACACAGTGAAATGCACATTGTATTCAGTGAGATTATAGTAGTCATGAATTCAGAGTTGTGTGAAAGCAGTGCACTACGAACATCAACACGTTTCACTGTATAGAACAGGATCGAGACGCAGGTCTCGGTCTGCTGTTAATCGCTTCCATCTGCTGTCTGTGCTGTTGCCTCAGCACTTCCATGCTCTGTGTATTTCTTCGCTCCTGATCCGCTATCATCTTTGCGAGCTCTCTGGACTTGCTATCCTCTACCTCTTTATTCCTCCTCCTCAACTGCTCTATCTCGCTGGCCATTTTGTTAGCGTTCTCCTGAAAGCCCTTCTCCATCAGGGCAGCCTGTTCTCTCAGCTTACTGTCCATGGCGCGCTTTGTCTCCTGCTGCTGGACGAACATCTCCTCTTCCACCTTCTGTATGACCTGTCTCACCCTTTCCTCGTTATTCTGTTCTTCAATCACCATCTTCTCCTCCAGCTGATGCTGCCTCTGTTCCTGGGCCTTCATCTCCTGTTCCAGAAGGACTGCCCGCTCTCTCTCCTCTGGTCAGCCCAAAAACAAGTGGTTACAGAAACAGACATGCTGTAAGTTCAATGAAGGAGACAAATCTGACAACATCATCCCTCTTGTTTGACACGCTGAAACATAAGCGTTCAAATGTGGAATGAGATTGCCTTTGATTCTCTTGGCCACTGACTGGCATCCATACCCTTTCATTTACCCTAACTGTGCAGCTGGGTTGATTCTATTCATATTCTCACGTGTAGGGCTTACTGTGTCTACTTGGCTGAAAACACAAAGCTCTTACCGCAAATCCTTCTTTCATTTTCGGTTAGTTTATCATCAGCCTGCAGAATGGCTGTGGTGACTGCAACCTTTTGCTGTAGAAATTTCTCCAACACCTCGGCAATCTATGAAGAAACACAGAAAGAGTAAACCTGATGGTAAAAGTATTCATATCTGAAGGTGCTTAGTGCTATTGCTTTAATGTAACATTTATCACCTTGACTTCTTGATAGGCCAGTGTATTGTACTGATTCACAATGTCCTCCAGGTCCTGGCAGAAGAGATCGTACCCACCAGCTGTGGCATAAAATCCTTGATTGATCCGCTCGGTCATTGGTTCAGAGAGAACTGACAGAAGACTTTCACATTTTTCCTCGGAGGCCTTCTCATTGTCCCAGAGATAGCTGTCAAACTGATGATTGATGGCTTCCTGAAACAGCCCAACAAAACAGGAAGTAGTCTTAATGCTCATCATTCGAGTTTTCTGTACACTTGTCACGCCTCGGTACTGAAAACACACCATGTAAGCACGGGTCTAGGTCCAAATGCAGGCTTTTATTGACTGCCGGGAAAACAAAATCAAAACCAAAACAGAAAACACAAACAGAGCTAAGACTCTGACACAGGCTTGAAACAGAAAAGGGAATCTGATGCAATACGGCCACATAGAGCTTGCATCAGTCCCGTAACAACACTTAATACAACTCCTAACAATTATTAATAATCTGCCCAGAGAGGCGTGGGGAAGGCATATCAGGTCCGTGTGGTAGCGGGGGACCTGGGGACTGGGGCAGAGCCGGTGGAATAGGCACGCAGAGCAGAACCAGCGGCCACCACAGCGGTGCGTGTGGTGCTGCCGCCTTGAAAAGAACGGAGGCGAGTTCCACCGCCACTTCCGGAGCCTTGTGAGCGGGCACCGCCGCCTCGGGGGAACTGAGAGCGGCCACCGCCGCCTCGGGGGAACTGAGAGCGGCCACCGCCGCCTCGGGGAAACTGCGAGCGGCCGCCGCCGCTTCGAGAACATCGTGAGTGGGCTCCGCCGCCTCGGGAGGATCATGAGCAGACACAGCCGCCTCGGGGGAACTGAGAGCGGCCACCGCTGCTTCCGGAGCCTTGTGAGCGGGCACCGCCGCTTCGGGGGAACTGAGAGTGGCTTCCGGAGCCTTGTGAGCGGGCACCGCTGCTTTGAGAGCATCATGAGCGGGCACCGCCACTTCGGGGGAACTGAGAGCGGCCACCACTGTAAAGGGAGTATTGTAATGGGTAAAAATGTAAGCTAATGTAGTCATAATTACTTAAAAGTCCTAATTAGCAGTTAAAATGTGAGCAATCCATAAAGTGGCTTAAAGCCATCTATTGTTGTAATCTGTCCACTCCCACTGACCTCTAAAGATGTCAAGTGCTTCCCATCACTGTCCCTGAAGGAGCGTTTCATGAAGGTCTGTGTTGCCATGAGACTGAAGCATTGGTGTTCTGAGGTGATTTCGTTCAGTTCCAGAGGGAAGGACTTCTTCAGCTTCTCCATTCCACTCTGGTACACCTCAAGCCCCTCCTGAAAAGCAGCCTCATTCTCAATCAGTGCCATTGAGATCACAGCGTTCTCCAGACACGGCACAGCTCCACTGGCGATGGTGTCTACGTATGTTTTTACTAGATGACCCAGAACTGTAGGAAAGCAGAGGAGTCAAACACAAGTACGGTACAAAATAAATGGATGCTACGACTTTAAAGCTGACTAAAGTCTAAACTAGTTTTGGAAACAGTGTTTTTCAAGATTTATGTCATTAAGTCGTCAATGAATAAAGATGCAAAGACAGAAAACATTAAGAGTCCAAAACATTAAAAGCATAATTCACTCGAAAAACAAATATTTGATGACTGTTTTGGGTTAAACCATTTTGGTTACTATTGACTTCCATTTGTATGTCCAAAAAATCTACAGAGTTCTCAGAATAAATTCCACAAAAGAAAGAATGACAGGTTTGGAATGAAAGGAGGGCGTGTAAATGATGACATCATTTTCATTTTTGGGTGAACTTTAAGAGAATGTGCTACAGCAACATTAGTAAAATTAAATGGAGTATTTATTGAAAAGCTTGTGGTACTTGAACTGTGGTTACTCTCAATATTGAATGCATTAGCCAGCATGTTTAACCGCCAACACATCACATAAAGCATTGTGAAGTGAATTTCTAGCATCTCCCCGATTCAACCATTTAGAGTTGGGCGATATGACCAAAACCTTACACCATGACACGAGTAACTTCCCATCACAGTAATGCCTGAAATTAGTTTTATATAACTATCTCTCAACACAACTCAACACTGCATTTTAATGCCATACCATTAAAGCTTCTCTCCATTTTTCTTTTAGTCCTGGCACTGATTTATATGCTAGACAAAGTAATAAATACAGTATGGCCAAATCTCAAATGGTGGACCATTTACTATATATCATCAACATTATGCTCTAAAACTGCTCAAAGTTAAAGCATTACAGACATGCCAGTATTATCTTCTAGAAAGCTGCTTTGGAACAACTACAGTATGTGTATTGTGAAAAGGGCTATAGAAATGATTTGATCTCTTGGATTAGCCACTGCTACATGAACCTATGAGTTACCTCTGCCGGTGACCGTGTGTCCATCTTTCAGATTTTTCACTTGGCTCTGGTCAAAGATAAACTGGCAGAAACGACCCGTGACCTCCAAGAATCGTTTTGAAATCTCAGCTGGGTCCAGTGTCTCCAGATAAGAGACATTGTCTGGATTGGTTGGGAACGGGAAGGTGAAACATTTCCGAGATGGGAAGTATTTGCGAATGCACTCTCTTGGAAGGTTGTAATTGTTCACTTGACTCGAGTTACCTTCAAGAGAACAACACAAAGCTGTCCTTCAGTCAACGTACACAGTGAAAACTTGAACATCAAATAAACTGCTAGCTTGTTAACGTGTTATAGATAAATGATCTTGGGGAACATTGTAGATAAACACAGAAAGCTAAAATCATTGACTGGAAGTGGCTAGAAAGGCTTTGTTTGCTAACAGAATGACATGACATGCTCTGACAAAGCTGGTAATAAAACTTTCAGGCTTTAAATATTACCTAGTTTTAGTTTCAGAGCAAACTCTAGGTATTCGTCCTCTGTTGCATCTTTCCCATCGATGTTTAGCTGCAGAGTGAAGTCCCTCACGGCCCAGATGAAACTGGGGAAGAACTTGACAAACTCTGCATCATCTACAGCTTCATCAGGTGACTTGATCTTGATGTACTCTGTTAGCTCAGTGACGTATCTGTTCAGTGCGAGTCAAAGATCTGTTGAACATTCACTGCAATCATGTAAACTGAGAAGAGCTGTACCAGAGCAATCCCAGCTAATGCCGAATTCCAAAATGGACAAAAGACGTCTATAATTTGGACATTGCTTTACATGGAGTCTTAGTAATTTATGTATTATTAACCTGTTTACCTAAATACTCAGCAAGCTCTCTTATAAGTTCTGATTAGAAGGATACTGCAGTTCCTCTATAGCCCTGTTGTCAATAGTTCCTCGACTGTTCAGGACTAGAGTGCTGCTCAGAAGGACAGCCAGAGAGAAGATCCTGGTGTCATGCTTCGAGTCGCCCTGAGACAGACATGAGACCACAGCCCATAACAGATACACAGTTCCTGATACTGAATGATCTGTGATTGTGAGATTGGTGTACCATCAGACAGAAAGACATATAGATAATATATGATACAGTTACTTTAGTTTGTCACCTTGTCCACGTCTCCGAGTCCCTCGGTGTCCAGCAGCACCAGAGTGGTTTTTGCTTTAGTGGGGTGAGGCACGCACCACATCCAGATGCCCTTCGTCTTGGACTCGATTGTGCTGCCCAGTGCAAACCCTGATAACCACACACCAGAAACCCCACAATGACTTGCATGCATTCATTTGAACAGCTCGAGCGTTTGGATGGCATCAGTGCTGCTGACCTGTTTGTTTCCCGGCCAGTCGATTCATCAGGTAGGACTTCCCGGTGCGATAGAGACCCACCACAGCCACCACCACCACGGGCTGCTGGATCTGCTCCAGAACCTGCAATGCTGACCCCTGCACACACAGCTTCCCATCGGACGCCATGTCAATCAAGCACACTGGTTTGTCCATGACCACTGGAGACCCAAACACATTTCTCTTCCTTTAATCAACCGCACTGAGAAATACTCCAATACTCCTGCATTAGACAGTACAGTAACTCCCCACACGAGCAGCCTTTCCTCTTTCTGTTTGTGTAAAATATTGCTTTAACCACACACTTTCACATCAAACTACACAAGCAGGCTGAGTAAGACACATAGAAATGATTAAAGATTTGTTTGTGACCAGCTACAGTCTATAACCAGACTGGGTTTAGTCTGTTGAATCTCTAACAAAACATGGCCAGAACATCTATCAAGACACGTCAGGCTGTAGAGTTCACACACACACACACACGCACGCACGCACGCACACACACACACTCACACAC